TCATAGATGTGGACGAAACATCAGGAGAGAATGCTTCCGGAACATGGCCATACAGCCCGGAAAACTCACAGAAATCCAGTGATTCCGGCCATGAGAGCCTTCGACAATACATTTAAATGATTCCCTCTAGTTGGAATGAATCACTGGGTTGGGCCTCCTATATTCAATGGACCTTCACTTTTGAATCCATGTACATATCACAGCACCCTTAGCGTACCTTTTAACGAAGTGCAAACTCTTATTAAAATAACACAAAAGATTATTTTGTTTGGGGGTGGGGAAGGTACTGTAAAAAAGAAATCCTCTAAGACTACGAAAATAAAGCTTTTCTGGGCTTCAGTCCACTTCATCCAACACAGGAGCCGAAGAATGCTTGTGCTGGAAATGTCTTTTCCTTTATCTCAAAATGCTACTGGATTCCTTTACATCTTTTATTATGATTTTCACTTTAAACCTCCTGTTAGGGACACAGTTTCTTTCAAGAGACTTGCTTTTTATCTAAAGCCCTTTCGTTTCTCCTTTATGCCACGTGTTGCCAGTGGGGGAAGAAACCCCAAAATCTAGCCAGCAACTTCTTTGTTTTTCTTCCTTTTCATTTTGAGCACAGGCTGTTCCAAGAAGTCTGTCTGAATCCTCGTAAACGCCCTAAAATATCTAGATTGAGTTTAATCAACTGAAGAAGCAGAAAAATGAAAGCAAAAGGGAATACAGTACATCTGGTGTGCGTGTGCCTTTAAGTTGCTTGTCAGTTTATGGTGGCTCCATGATTTTAGTGAGGTTTAGTGAAGACAAGGAATACTCAGAGGTGGTTTTGCCATTTCCCGCCTTTGAAATATAGCCTACAGAATCAGATACTGGTAGGTGATCTGCTGTCCAAGAACTAATCTGGGATGAATCTGCTTATCTTCCAAGATCTGGTGCCTTCAGGATATTTACAGAGGGAAGATTAAAAGAGACTCAGGAAGAGAGAAAAGAGGGAAGATTAAAAGAGACTCAGGAAGAGAAACACATCTCCCTAAAAGGCAGCTTTTCTCAAGCTGAGGCTCCGGATCCCTGGGGGCCTGCAAGGGGGTCTCAGAGGGGTCGCCAAAGACCATCAGAAAACACAGTATTTTCTGTTGGTCATGGGGATTCTGTATGGCAGTGGTTCTCAACCTGTAGGTCCCCAGATGTTTTGGCCTTCAACTCCCATAAATCTTACGAGTTGGTAAATTGGGTGGGATTTCTGGGAGTTGTAGGCCAAAACACCTGGGGTCCCACAGGTTGAGAACCACTGCTGTATGGGAAGTTTGGTGGGGGTTAGAATGCTCTTTGATTGTTGATGAATTATAAATCCCAGCAACTATAACTCCCAAATGTCAAGGTCTATTTTCCCCAAACTCCACCAGTGTTCACATTTGGGCATATTGAGTATTAGTGCCAAGTTTGGTCCAGATCTATCATTGTTTGAGTTCACGGTACTCTCTGGATGTAGGTGAACTACAACTCCAAAACTCAGAGTCAATGCCCACCAAACCCTTCCAATATTATCTGTTGGTCATGGGAGTTCTGTGTGCCAATTCCAACAATTCCATTGTTGTTGGAGATCCGAATGTTCTTTAATTGTAGGTTAAGTATAAATCCCAGCAACTACAACTCCCAAATGACAAAATCTATACCCCCCCTCCCCAACCCCACCAGTATTCAAATTTGGGCGTATCGGGTATTTGTGCCAAATTTGTTCCAATGAATGAAAATACATCCTGCATATCAGATATTTACATATATATATATATATATATATTGGTCGTGTCAAAAGCGATGCTCCTGTTGTGAGAGAACTGGCCGTCTGCAAGGACGTTGCCCAGGGGACGCCCGGATGAATTGATGTTTTATCTTCCTTGTGAGAGGCTTATCTCATGTCCCCGCATGAAGAGCTGGAGCTGATAGAGGGAGCTCATCCGCCTCTCCCCGGATTCGAACCTGCGACCTGTCAGTCTTCAGTCCTGCCGGCACAGGGCTTTAACCCACTGTGCCACCAGGGGCTCCGGAGATATTTACATGACGATTCGATATCTGAATCGTCAGATATATACATGACGATTCATAACAGTAGCAAAATTATAGTTATGAAGTAGCAACAAAAGTAATTTCATGGTTGGGGGTCACCACAACATGAGGAACTGTATTAAGGGGTTGTGGCATTAGGAAGATTGAGAAACACTGCCCTATAAGGTCTCTCTCTGTTTCTTCAATGCACTGTTGACATTTAAAGATCATTAAGAGATTCCTGACATTAAGATTTCCATTACGACTGCATCTACAATATTGAATGAATGCAGTTTGACCTCGCTTTAACACCTTCTTACACTTCTGGCTAAAAACCACGGATGTGGGAGTGAGGATCTCCTTCCTTTTCTGCAAAACCCCACCCCACCTTCTGCTTTGAAAACCCTCTGGGGCTGAGGTCACAGTTTGGGCCAAAACCAAGGGAGGGGCACTTTGTAGATTACATTAAGGGTCTTTCCCTAATTCCCTCACATAATCTTTGCCCTGACGAAAAAGGGTGGAAATGAAGGGTGTATCTACACCAGAGGTTCTCCTCCTGGGGTTCCCAGATGTTTTTGGTCTACAACTCCCAGAAATCCCAGTCAGTTTACCAGCTGTTAGGATTTCTGGGAGTTGAAGGCCAAAAACTTCTGGGGACCCCAGGCTGAGAACCACTGATCTACAATGTAGAATGAATGCAATTTGATCCCACTTGAACTACCATGACTCAGTGCTATAGAAGCCTTGGAGTCATAGTTTGGTGACGCACCAGTATATTTGGCAAAGTAAGCTAAATAAAACTACAATGCCCCAATCAAACCATGGCAGTTCAAGTGGTATCAAATTGCATTCATTCTACAGTGTAGATTAGGCATGCACAAACTTCGGCCCTCCAGGTGTTTTGGACTTTAAATCCAAATACCAGCTGTTAGAAATTGTGGGTGTTGAAGTCCAAAACAGATGGAGGGCCAAAGTTTGCCCATGCGTGGTGTAGATGCATCTAATGAGGCTGGATCTACACCTGGTTATCCAGTTTGGATTATATGGCAGTGTAGAGTCATCTAATCCAGTTCAAAGCAGATGTGGATTATCTGCTCTGATAACCTGGATTACATTGCAGTGTAGATCCAGCCTGAGAGTCAGTTCCCTTGAGAGAGAAAAAACCCAGAATGGAACAAAAATGCTTTTGATGCATTATCATAGCTCTAAATCACCAACAAATAATAACCAAGAATGGCCAAGGCTGCATCCGCCCTGTAGAATTAATACAGTTTGGAACCACTTGAACTGCCATGGCTCAGGTTCCTTCTGCACAACTGTATAAAATCAACATTATCTGGGTTGTTGTTAGTTTTCCAGGCTGTATGGCCATGTTTCCAGAAGCATTCTCTCCTGATGTTTCGCCTGCATCTATGGCAGGCATCCTCAGAGGTTGTGAGGTTTGTTGGAAACTAGGAAAATGGAGTTTATATATCTGCTTAGAACTGGATTATATGGCAATATAGACTCAAGGTCCTTCCACACAGCCCTGTATCTCAGAATATCAAGGTAGAAAATCCCACAATATCTGCTTTGAAATGGTTTATCTGAGGCCACACTCAGATAATGTGGGATTTCCTGCCTTGATATTCTGAGATATAGGGTTGTGTGTAAGGGCCCCATGTTAACCCAGTTCAAAGCAGATAATGTGGGTTGTCGGAATCACTGGGTTGTTGTAGGTTTTTTCGGGCTATATGGCCATGGTCTAGAGGCATTCTCTCCTGCCGTTTCGCCTGCATCTATGGCAAGCATCTTCTGGAGAGAATGCCTCTAGACCAGTGGTTCCCAACCTGGGGTCCCCAGATGTTTTTGGCCTACAATTCCCAGAAATCCCAGCCAGTTTACCAGCTGTTAGGATTTTTGGGAGTTGAAGGCCAAAAACATCTGGGGACCCCAGGTTGAGAACCACTGCTCTAGACCATGGCCATATAGCCCGAAAAAACCTACAACAACCCAGATAATGTGGGATTTCTGCCTTGATATTCTGGGATATAGGGCTGTGTGGAAAGGCCCTCAGATAATCCAGTTCAAAGCAGATAATGTTGATTATCCACTTTGATAATTTGAGTCCCATGGCAATATAGAAGGGGCCTCAGTGCTATGGAACACTGATATCCTCAGTTTGGTAAGGCCACAGGGTTCTTTGGCAAAGACCTGGTAAAACTACAACTGCCAGGATCACAAAGTACTGAGCCACGCCAGTGAAAGTAATACCAACCTGCATTGCTTCTATAGTACTCTTTAGCTAAAGGCCTTGTAAAACTACATGCTTCTTGGATCCCTTCCCTTCCACGCAGCTCTATATCTCAGAATATCAAGGTAGAAAATCCCACAATATCTGCTTTGAACTGGGTTATCTGAGTCGACAGAGATTGTGGGGTTTTCTGCCTTGATATTTTGAGATATAGGGCTATGTGGGAGGGCCCTTAACGAGGTGTCAAACTGCGTTACTTCTACAGTGCAGATGCTCCCTAAGAAGGCATAAAAATGCCAACGCTTCAGGTCTAGAGAGACCAAAAGTCTGCGAAGACGCGTGATCGTGGCGAGGGAGGGAGGGCTGGATGGAGAAGCACTTCCTATTTCGTAGAAGATGTGGGATTTTAAGGGGGGGGGGGTCCAAACGATGAAGGATTTGGCAAGCGGAGGGAAGGGCGCGTTTGTGGCGTCTCCGAGCCCCCCTCCCCAATTCCCTCCTCCGACATCCTGATGCGTCAAAGGGATGCGCTTCGTTTTCTCTCCTATTCTTGGAAACCCTTTTCCCCCCACCCTGCCTGACCCAGTGGCTCTGTTCTAAGGGATCGGATCTTCCTCCCTCCACAATAAACCCCTTGGGGAACCGTTCCACCCCACAGACTCCCCCCAGATCCCTCCAACCCCCCTGTTTGCCAACCCCAGGAGTCCTAGCACCCCAATTTCCGCCTCGAAAAGGGTACCTGGATGTTTCCTGGGGTCTCTTTTTCGGGATCGGCTCTTCTTGCGCCTCAACTTTCCTCTTCTGACTTCACCCCCTCGCCCTCTTGCCACCACCACCTCCTCCTCCTCCTTCCTTCCTTTTTGACAAACCAACTCAGCTCAGTTCATCCCCATCGCATCACCACGTTCACCCAGCCCTGCCCTTGGCATCTGGCCCCGTGGGTGGGACCAGGGAGCGCGTGGCTGGCTTGGTGCCCCAAAGAAGGGGGTGAAATGGGGAGCGAGGGAGGGAAGGAGGAGGGCCGGATCCCCTCTGGCACAGGATGGGGGAGCCCTTCCTCTCTTCCTCCCTCCCCCCCCCCTCCACATGTGTGTCAGTAGACCGTGTCTCATGGGTCTCCTTTGCTGTTCTTCTCTGCCACTTTCTCCCCCTCTCCTTGGTCGGTCCCCTTCTGCGCCCTGGCAGCTCTCTTCTCATCCTTTCCTTTATCCCATAGAGACAAGGGCTGAACTACAGTCATGCAGTCTGGCACCACTTTTGCACCCATGGCTCAGCCTCAAAGCAATGGAATAATAAGATTTGGAATTTGTCATTAGCAGGCATGGGCAAACTTTGTCCTTACTCCAGATGTTTTGGACTTCAACTCCTACCATTCCTAACAGCCTCAGGCCCCTTCTTTTTCCCCTTCAGCCGCTTAGCGGCTGAAGGGGAAAAAGAAGGGGCCTGAGGCTGTTAGGAATGGTAGGAGTTGAAGTCCAAAACGTCTGGAGAAAGGCCAAAGTTTGCCCATGCCTGCTCTAGCCTTTTCCTGAAACTGTAACCAAAATAGCATGTGCACCCCCTCCCTATTTCTCCACTCATGCCCTACAACAATCCTTTAACAGGGGGTGGGAATTTGTGGCTCCATACTAATGGACTGCATCTCCCAACCATCCTGACAATCATCACCAATGATGAAACACACCGAGAGTTTCAGTTCAACATGTGAATTCAAGTATCCTGCTTACAAGTATCCATTTGGCCATACCACACCAAAAGAATGGGCTTTGGAATGTATTTTGCACTTCATTAACAAGCCAGAGGTAGATTCAAATAGATTAGAACAGTGGTTCTCAACCTTCCTAATGCTGCAACCCCTTAATACAGTTCCTCAGGTTGTGGTGACCTCCCAACCATAAAATATCTATCTATCTATCTATCTATCTATCTATCTATCTATCTATCTATCTATCTATCTATCTATCTATCTATCTATCTCAGTTATTCTCAACCTTCCTAATGCCATGACCCCTTAATTCAGTTCCTCATGTTCTGGTGACCCCCTAACCATAAAATATCTATCCATCCATCTATCTCAGTGATTCTCAACCTTCCTAATGCCATGACCCCTTAATACAGTTCCTTATGTTGTGGTGACCCCCCAACCATAAAATATCTATCCATCCATCTATCTCAGTGGTTCTCAACCTTCCTAATGCCATGACCCCTTAATGCAGTTTCTCAGGTTGTGGTGACCCCCAAACCATAAAATATCTATCCATCCATCTATCTCAGTGATTCTCAACCTTCCTAATGCCATGACCCCTTAATACAGTTCCTCAGGTTGTGGTGATTCCCCAAACCATAAAATATCTATCCATCCATCTATCTCAGTGGTTCTCAACCTTCCTAATGCCATGACACCTTAATACAGTTCCTCAGGTTGTGGTGATTCCCCAAACCATAAAATATCTATCCATCCATCTATCTCAGTGGTTCTCAACCTTCCTAATGCCATGACCCCTTAATACAGTTCCTCAGGTTGTGGTGATTCCCCAAACCATAAAATATCTATCCATCCATCTATCTCAGTGGTTCTCAACCTTCCTAATGCCATGACACCTTAATACAGTTCCTCAGGTTGTGGTGATTCCCCAAACCATAAAATATCTATCCATCCATCTATCTCAGTGGTTCTCAACCTTCCTAATGCCATGACCCCTTAATACAGTTCCTCAGGTTGTGGTGATTCCCCAAACCATAAAATATCTATCCATCCATCTATCTCAGTGGTTCTCAACCTTCCTAATGCCATGACACCTTAATACAGTTCCTCAGGTTGTGGTGATTCCCCAAACCATAAAATATCTATCCATCCATCTATCTCAGTGGTTCTCAACCTTCCTAATGCCATGACTCATTGAGCTCATTGTTATTAAAACCAATTAACAGCAGCTGTCTAGGATTTCCAGCCAGGAGTCTATCTAGTTCAGTGGTTCTCAACCTTCCTAATGCTGCGACCTCTTAATACAGTTCCTCATGTTGTGGTGACCCCCAACCATAAAATTATTTTCATTGCTACTTCCTACCTGTCATTTTACTACTGTTATTAATTCTAATGTAAATATCTGATATGCAGGATGTGTTTTCATTCACTGGTTGAAATTTGGCACAAATACCCGACATGCCCAAATTTGAATACTGGTGGGGTTGGGGGAGATTTGTTTTGTCATTTGGGAGTTGTAGTCACTGGGATTTATATTTTATTTACAATCAATGAGCATTCTGAACTCCACCAACGATGGAATTGAACCAAACTTGGCACACAGAACTCCCATGACAAACAGAACATACTATAAGGGTTTGACCTTGAGTTTTGGAGTTGTCATTCGCCTACATCCAGAGAGCACTGTGGACTCAAACAATGATGGATCTGGACCAAACTTGGCACTCAATATGCCCAAATGTGGACACTGGTGGATTTTGGGGAAAACAGACCTTGACATTTGGGAGTTGTAGTTGCTGGGATTGATAGTTCACCTAAAATCAAAGAACATTCTGAACCCTGCCAATGAAAGAATTGGGCCAAACTTTCCACACAAAACCCCCATGACCATCAGAAAAGACAGTTTTTTTCTGTGATGGTCTTTGGCGACCTCTCTAACACCCCCCTCATGACCTCCCCCAGGTTGAGAAACGCTGGATTAGAAACATCACAACATGCTGGGTTTCAAGAACAACAGCATGGCTTGAGAAAACTCTGTGAGGCCAGGGCCCCTTCTACACTATGGTATAATCCAGATAAAGCAGATACCGTAATCCAAATTATCTGCTTTGAACTGAATTATATGAGGCCCCTTCAATGTGGTCATATACAATCCATTGTAGTCTACACTGCCATATAATCCAGTTCAAAGCAGATAATTTGGATTTTATATGGCAATGTAGAAGAGGTCTGAATTTCTACAGTGCAATTTATCCCAGGAAATGATGCAAGATTATCTTCTTATCCCAGATTTTTTGGCAGTATAGACTCAAACAATCCAATTCAAAGCAGTTAATCTAGGATCAGATCCTGGGATATAGGGCAGTGTAGAACCAGCCTAAGACAGGCCAAGCTGCCATTAGTTGTGGGTCATCCAATGGAACAGGAGCCCCTGTGGCGCAATGGGTTAAACCCTTGTGCCGGCACGATTGCTGACCAAAAGGTGGGTGATTCAAATCCGGGGAGTGAGGTGAGCTCCCATCTGTCAGCTCCAGCTTCTTATTTGGGGACATGAGAGAAGCCTCCCATAGGATGGTAAAACATCCGGGCGTCCCCTGGGCAACGTCCTTGCAGGCGGCCAATTCTCTCACACCAGAAGCAATTTGCAATTTCTCAAGTCACTCCTGACATAGAAAAAAAAATCCAATGGAACTCATGACTGAACGGGGCCCCTTTCGCACAGCTTCCTACATTATCTGCTTTGAACTGGAATATATGGCAGTGTTGACTCAGATAACCCAGTTTAAAGCAGTTATTGTGGGATTTACTGCTTTGATATTCTGGGTTATATGGCTATGTGGAAGGGCCCTGGGTCTCCCCAGTCTCAGTATAACACTCATAGAGTGCATCTACACATTGTCAAATTGATGCAGTTTCACACCACTTTAACTGCCCTGGCTTTTAAACACTTGGAGTTGTAGTTTGACTAGGTCTGTAACCTCTTCTGCCAGAGTGTTTGTGTCTCACCAAACTACACTTCCCAAGACTCCATAGCAGTGAACCATGACAGTTTAAGTAGGGTCAAACTGAATTAATTATACGGTATGTTCCCAAGGAGAGAAAACATATGTTCACGCAAACACACAAGAACAACAACTTCACTAGTCAGATTTCTGCATCCCTTTATGTTAAGACCCTGACATTTTTGTTTGGGCTGGGAGAGGGTGCATCCACACTGTAGAATTAATGCACTTTGGCACCACTTGAGCTGCCATGGCTCAGTGCTATGGAATCCTGGAGGTTGTAGTTTGGTGAGGTGCCAGCATTTTTTGGCAGAGAAGGTGAATGACAACTCGTGAATGGCTCTTGAGACTTGGAGTTTTGCTTCATTTTAAAAAATAAAAATCATTTTACAATTTATTATTATTCATATTTTCAAGTAGGTCTATATGGGGGCACTGAAATCTTTAAGTACTTAGGGTCTTTAAAGGTCTTAATCCAACCCTGGCTGTTAACTGTTTTGAGTCCTAATATGAGAAAGTGAGATATTATTTATTATTATGATAATAATAGTAATAGCTAGAGAAGGTGCTGTAGGGAATTAGTGGTGAAGTCTGCTTTTGTTTGCTCTGTTCCATATCCCTGAATTTAGATCCAAGCCTCTATTTTTAGTATCTACCTTCTCGACGCCACAGTGTACACATCTGATGTGACACTTTAAGGCTGGACAAGCAAACTCTACCCCACCCCTTTACACTGGTCCTCTGGTTTTTCTCAGCTCACCACACCCCATTCCAGATGACACCATCGTCTCTGGTGGTTTCCCAACTTTAGAAGAATTTTTCGTTTCCCTCCCGCTGACCCCTCTTTCAGAAGCCTAAAATGCCTCCCCTTTGGTTTCTGTGACTGAAACTCAGAGCTACACGCTCAATTATGCTGGTATTTTTGGTCTCAACATTTTGCCTCACCCAATACTGGAATGTGCTCCCCTGAAACCTCTTCTGGAATTAAAATTGACCCTCAACCTGAAAGACATTTATCATAAAGGCTATCAGTAGTGACACAATGGCACACATTTTCCCAGATGGCATACAGCTTCTTCAGGTATGCATTAGCATTATCTTCATCTGGCAGATGCTGACATGTAAATACATGCACACATACATACATCAGAGTATAGGGGGATATGTAAACATAGGGTCGAAAAGTAGGAAGGGCATATACAATAAGTACTTCTTTTAAAGGCAGTTATAGGTTGTACAAGCAGTAATTTACTTTGCTGATTTACTGCAACTTAAAAAATACAATTCAGA